ATTATAATATTAAATTCGTTTGATTGTAGGAATGGAAGAGAATGGTTCGGAAGGGCTTGACGAATTGATTTTAAAAGAGGCAGACAAATATTTCAAAGATGTGGATGCTGTATGCATCTCAGACAACTACTGGCTTGGTGTGACTAAGCCTTGTTTGACTTATGGGTTACGTGTAAGTCACATTCGTTAAACCGGAATCGTAATCTATTTTGTTTGTGTTAAATTTGTAAATATATTCTTCTCAATAGGGAATTTGTGCTTACAAAGTCACTATATCCGGCCCAGGAAAAGATCTCCACTCAGGTGTCTTTGGTGGTACTGTCCATGAGCCTATGACTGATCTATTTCATTTGTTCAGTAAACTGGTTACTCCGCGAGGCGATATTTTGATTACAGGAATTAACGATGATGTTGCGCCACTTGATGGTAGTATTTTATGACGATAATATAATTTACTACCGATTATTTAATATATTTCGTTAAAACATATAGATGAAGAGCACCAGAAATATAAATCGTTAGAGTTTTCAATGAGCGAATTTCACTTTGCTATTGGTTCGAAAACAAATATTCACGAAAGTGAACTAGAAATACTACAACATAGGTATGTTTATTTAAGAAATAAAAACATTCTTATTATAATTATGAATTTTTATGACGTACTCATAAGCAAACCTGTCGCCAATGTTCCTTACAGGTGGCGTTATCCATCACTTACGATTCATGGTATTGAAGGTGCATTTTCTAATTCTGGATTTAAAACAGTCTTACCTGCAAAAATCAATGGAAAGTTCTCGATTAGAATTGTTCCAAACATGGATCCTAAACGCGTTGATAAACTGGTTGAAAAATATTTGAAAGATGAATTTACTAAACTGGGTAGTAAAAATACTCTTAAAGTGGAGAGTTTACATAGTGCCAAAGCATGGCTTGCAAACCCTAATCATTGGAATTATGGTATGTTTTACTTGATAATCTATGTTTTTTATATATAAATTTTATTTGCAAATATATTACGTAATGTTAACAGATTTATATTTATTAAACGAATAGTTGCTGCTTCTAAAGCTGCTGAAAGAGTTTTCAACCGCAAACCTGATTTGACGCGTGAAGGTGGTTCTATTCCTGTTACTTTGACATTTCAAGATGCTTTGAATAAGAATGTTTTATTACTCCCAATGGGTCGTGGTGATGACGTACGCATATATTTATCATTTTTCATCTTGTACTTATTGTTAATTTTATTAATTTATGATATTTTATTGTTTAGGGTGCACATTCAATTAATGAAAAACTTGATCGTTCAAATTATATTCAAGGAATTAAGTTATTTGGTGCATACTTACATGAAGTTGCTTCCAGTAAAGCTGAATAAATTAAAATCGTTATTACTTGTTTTATACAATAGATATTAGAATACGTATTGTGTTCTTTTTTGTTCTTTTTTGTTTTTTTTTTTTGTATAGGTGTTTTTTCATTTATATTTTATGTATAGTTCGAGTTTAGGTTCGATACGCATTTGGTAGTTTAATGACTATGCTTATCTGAAAGTCTCAACCAATTTTTCAAGGACGTACATGTACGTACATACGTTAAATTCCCTTTACAGTTTATTAACTATTGTAGTAACACCCAATCAAAATTAGTAAATATACCACGTGCCCGAAACTGACGTGTCAATAATTCTGTGATAAGTTAGATAAGTTATTATTTTATATTGAAAAGTTCAAAGGCTATGGTCGAGCAAATCAATGAAGCCATAATTATCCATTTCATAGTTCACAGCTTATAATTTAATATATACGATATTTAATTTTGTTACTATATACTGTACCATTGCCGTTAAATATGCTAATATGCGGGGACATTTGGTGCAGCAAACTCGATTTAGTTAAAATGTAAACATGCAACATCACATGACTTTATGACGGCCAGATTACCAATAAAAGTATTTTATCACATGGACCAGCGTTCACTCTGTCAACATTAAAAGTTGTGGCTGTAATAAATTCACACATTTTTAGAACTCGAAAAATTTTTAACAAAACTCGTATTTTTGAGATCGCGATAGAATAAGGCATGACTAAAGTTGTTGAAAAGCCATTTTATGAAGTGAATATTGATTGCGGATATGGAACAAATAAGGTACTTGTATGAAAACAAAAAAAAAACGAGGTTTATCTAATATAATAGCAATAATAATAACCATCATAATAATAAACAATAATAATAATAATAATAATAATAAAATAATAATAGTAATGATCCGATCATTATGAGGGTTTAAATCTCCCATGTAATTATGTATTTTGATACTATATAGGAGATAGAGACAATAGAACCTTATGCCTTAAACGTTTCAATCAAATAAGTTTGATAGTGTATGACCACGTTAAGGCTAATTTCTTCTTATTTTATAAAAAGGTTCAATATTCAACATTTAAAGAATTCTATTCTTCAAACGTCGCGGTTAAAGACAACAAAATAATTAAAGAAAAGACTCTAATATCCGAATCATTTAAAGTTAGTGATGAATTGGTTGCATTTAAAATGGATAATAATATTGGTGAAGGACAAGTCAATTACGACTCCATTTTCAATGAATATCACGGGGATTTTCCTGCAAGATTAGGAACCTCCAAAAAAAATCAAAAAATTAGCACTCAGCATACAAATAAACAAGAAAATGCCCTTATTAAACGTGACATAGACTCACAGTTTTATGATTCATTATCTGACGATGATAAAATTTTAATTCATCAAGAACTCGAAGACACTAAGGAAGACCAAATTGAAGATGAAAATATTAGTTATCTGGAACACAAAAAAATAGTTCAGTATGTTGAAGAACACAATAGAAACTTTTTGGCAAAAGCTATGGAAGTGGATGGCATCTCAGACATGAACCGTGCCGGCAAGTTTTCGAGATCTAATTATAGTAAATATTTTTCTACATACGGCGCATTTTCGAACACAGGAAATTGTTTTAATGTGATGTTGGAACATATTGCTGAAATATTACAGTTACCTATGGTACATCAACAAACGAAGTTTGGAAGAAGAACATTATGGCAATTAGATCAATATACCAAAAATATGATTATTGAAAAAAATACCATTTCTGGGTATGTCTTCGACAAAATTTATTTGCGATTCCATCCTCACAACAATACCTGGATAGGTAATCATGTTGCATTAGAACCATTTGAGGATGGTTTCGGCAAATGTATTGCAATACCGTTTGATTTGTTTTTCAATTCACATGTACATCCTGAATTTCAAATGCTTGAATGGAACACTAGTCGTCGGCATGGTAGTCGAAAAGTTATCCGTGATTGTGAAGAATTCGAACTTACCAGGAAACGAAAACCTAGCTTTGACGCCAGTCAGCTTTTTGAATCATTAGATCCTTTGGTTTTTAATGATTTTGATGCTCACGCGTATTATGATTCTATTAAATATTTATACTGGGCGAGAACCCAAGAACAATTTGACAAGGAGCTTAGATTATTTAAAATAGCTAAAAGTCAAAAGGCTGGATGTTCGAATTATAGTTCAGTTGGACACAGTTGGTGTATACCTAACTTGATGCAAGGTCTATCGGATAAATATGAAGTTGAACTGGAAATCGATCAATTAATTGGTCGTAGCTTAGATTGTTATGATGATTTCTTAAAATCTTTGAATCAAGTCTTACCATTAGAAGATAACACGCAAATCTATTATAAGTGTGATTCTTTTAATAGTTGCTTCAACCACTTGGATTTAGTACCCTTTGCCGGATGCCAGTCAATAAGCGTCCTTTGCTTTGTTAGCTGGGGTGAGATACCATATATCAGATCTATACAATGGTCAGCCGCCAATGTGGACACATATTTGCGTTAATCAATCAAAAATATGTACGCGGTTATTTGTAAGAATGTGTTCAAAAGTTTAAATATGCTCAATACATACGATCCAATATATTAACGTATGAAACCATTTTTTTTTTCCTGTTAAATTGCAAGAAAAAAAAAAAAATCAACGAAAACGAAAAAAAAAAAAAAATTAAAACTGCAATTGACTTTTCCAATGCTTGTTATTAACTATCTTTGTGTGAACAATAGAGGATTGCTTTATAAAACCCTTCTTGGAAACGAATGTAAAACATTTTGTGTCGCATTGCGAGAAGAAAAAAAAAAAAAAAGATCAGTAGAAATCCCAGTATGTTAAACAATTATGAAATTTCCAAAATCAATATTGTTTATTAGGAAATGTTGTAAATAATGCGCCAAAAAAATATATGACTTCTAAATATGTCTAGCTTACAAATTTTATCGATCTTCAAAATCGTATTTTTAGATCAATTGCTTTAACGTTGACCTGATATTAACATGCACATTTGATACAAATATAAATACGAAGCAGCGAGAACGGGTCAAAATCTTTTATGATGAAAACGTTTCTTTTCGATTAAAAACCAAGATGAAAATTTACGGTTACATGATGATTTGATAATCGGAATCTAAAAAATTCTTACCGCCAAGGGAAAACCTGTCATCGGTGTTTCAAGTTTATCGTTTAATCTATCTGAAATTTTAGCGTTAGGAATTGTATCCGATTACTTATTTAAAATCCGATGACAGATACACAAGATGACCGGTTCTTAGGGATGGCAAAAAAACGTTTTTTAATGATTTTTAATGATTTTTGAATTGTTTTAAATCATGTTTTAAAACATTG